GATCGTCAGACCCGGTCTAGTTCATAATGCTCGGTGCTTACTATTGAAAGGCTGCGAAGCCGCCACATCTTCAGGAGCCTCTGCGAATACTATAGCGAGTCCGCTACGAATCCAATGATTAATTCGAGTCCAGGCTCAGTGAAAGGAGCAACTCACGCGGATAGATGCCAATCGATATGGCTTCATAAAGACAAAAAGTTATTGCCAGCTAAAAAGACATGGATATAACACTTACCAATGTAACAGCCAAGGTCCAGGGTTGTCGGTGATGAACCGAATAGTCACACGATCACCAGTGTTGCCAGTGGTCACTGTATCGCGCATGACGGGGTTGACGTAGTTATAAGCGGTACTTCCAGCACTTCTGATAACAGCGAAACTGTGCTACAAACCAATTATGATTAGTCCATGGAATGTGTGTAGATGACATGCCAAGACGTACCCCATGAAGATGGAATGGATGCTGTAAAGATATGTCAGTCAAGGACATACACGTCATTTTGAAATGGACTCACAGGACCCCCAGGGGAATTATCGGGATTGAACGTAAGTTCGATAACCTTATTCCGTGGCAGAGTGTATACGGAGCCGTTGGGCGCAAGATCCGCCGTTGTCACAGCACCGCTCAGTAACTGTAATAGGACAGGGACACTAGGAGAAATATACTGGACGTTATTGATGAGAAAGTTGAAATTGGACAGATTTTTCCCAAGAACAAGGTCAAGTTTGACGTCTGGTTCCTGCAGCAAACGAGACGAAGGCGGAGTTAGGGGGTGTAGGCTGGTCTCGTTAAGAGCATCCCAGTCCGAGTTTGTCATGTTCTGGGGGTCTGCATCGGGAGCGCCTGCATATCGAAAGATAGCGGTGGCATTTGTGCCCGCATCGGGATCGGCATGCACCCAATAATTGTCGACAGGCTGGTTTGTCTCGAGAATGAAGGAGTATCGTTGTGCAGCGTAGATCTGGATAGAGTCCACTACGAGCGGCTCGACGTATTGGCCATCGACTTCGATGATGGTAAGATTATGGCTGTCGATCGAGAAAATGTAGTTGGGCTTGCACGCCATGTTCAGCAAGCGGAAACGATATCGCTTTCCTGGCTGAACGTTGATGACGGCGAGAGGCACATTTGGCCCTCCATCATAACGCCCGACACCGTTGATAAGCACCGAGTCGGCAGTTACTTGTCTCTGTACTAGAGGCGATGGCAAGTTATACCTACAAAGCAAGCCGAGTCAATAACAGAAAAAGGTGCATAAGCCTTTTCTTTTCTTACCAGTCCATTAATGTGATGATGCTAGACTCTTTACTCAAATGTGAGAAACGCAACTTTGTTTCGTCGAACGCACTCACCGTCATCAATATCGTACAATGAAATGTATGGGTCGTTTGGATTGTAGATGATTAGCGGTCCTCGTAGACCATCGCAGTATTGGACCTGAATTGAAATCAGTTTCCGACACCATGAATAAAAATCGAAGCACGCACTCCATAATGAGAGTGGTACCAGTACGTTCCCACTTGGTCGGTAGCATTGAAGTCATACAAAAAAGAGTGTCCCGGAGCGATCGGACATTGCGTGACAAATGACACGCCGTCCATTTGGTTGCTATGATGCTGGAATAGTCCATGCCAATGCTGTTTACGATAGACATCATTGTGAGCTCCTACATGCATTTATAGGCTGGTACTTACGATACTGGTACTCGTTAGCATCGAATCGTTAGTCAATTGATTCGTGACGTTAATCTTGAACGTATCCCCCTAATACACATGAGGTCAACCAAGAGTTTGCGCATGCAAAGCAGACGCTACCTTCTGAGCTACAATAGTGGGTCCGGGATGAGTGCCACCGGCAAGAACCCCCCTGCAATGAAGTCAGTAATCAAATAGGTCGAAAGGTAAGCAAACACTGACGATCTGGTGAACCCGTCTGGGGATACAATACCATTTGAAATGACGAGGTCAGAAACTGGGCCAATAGTCACGGCACGACCCTGGAGGCATGCCAGAAGGCATATGAATACATAGAGTTGGAACATGACTCGACACTCGAGTCAATAGGAGTACGATGAGCAAAATACGTTGCATCTTTCAGCTTAAGTAGTGCTCCTGGCATCGCCCTCTGGATCAGAGAGTTGGTCTACATATCTTCCGATTTGTGGATCGAAATAATCGGCTGAGGCAGTGATCCCCTGTACTGGTACGTTCCAGCAGATTCTCACCTATAGGTCACCACCGATCAACACTACGGACTTGTAGAATGGAAAGTTTGATTACCTGTCAAAGGCACTCTCCGTCAGCGATACGAGCTCTTCGAAGCTGGGTAGTCCAAAAGGGACTTGGCGGCTGACCGGAGTACCTGGATGCGCTTTCATGCCTTCCGCACGTTTTGTGGATCTCGTTGGCCGGGGGTGTTGCAACGGATCACCTGAATAAGCATTGATGATTCGAGACGCAGCTAGGCTGTCATGTCAATTACACCTACCGCCTTCAGACCTATTTTGGGCATGCAGAACACGACGGACCGCCTTGTATAATGCAATAGGATCCAATCATTAGCCAAGCGATACCGGTAGTAGAACATTTACATTTACATCAAGCCTCGGCAGAGTTGTCAAAATACCCACGACGACAGATCTTCAAGACTCGGCCCCAGGCGCTGTAGTGATGAATTTGACAGTTGCCGAGTTCAAGACTGGTATGGAGATGAATCTGTTTATAAGCGGAGATCATTGGTGCCGCAGCCACGTTGCATAGTAGTTGCTCAGTAAGTAATGTCAGATTTGAATGAGTTCTGTAAGTAAAAGGTTGGCTTACAGCAATTTTTAAGAGCGTGAGTAGCTGCTGCCTCCCCGCGCCAGATCACCTGTTACTGTGTAGAATGAACACCCGACAAACTGATGAGTCGAATCTAATTATACCTCCGCAGCTTAAAAACATACCGCAATCCAAGAATATGTTATTGTTGTAATTTGATTCGTTAGACCGCATTGCGGCGACGTCTTGGAGCTATCAAGTGCCTGTATAGGCACATGAACATTATCCATCCAAGGTTATTGAATCATGATGGCCACTAAGCTCAGGTGACAGATTTGCGACCTTCTGGACCGCTATCAGGTGTTGCTGTGATTCCGCAGGTGCAGTTAATTTGAAAATGGAGGCTATAATGACGTCATCGGTATAGAACCACGAAGTTATAGTTGGTTGTGGACGCGATGCAACTTGAATCATGAGCGCCTCGTCGGATCAATATTGAAGCAGGGGACTAAGTGATCGTCCACACTCAAATAGGAATATCTTGTAAGCTATCTTGCGCTGGCCCCTGAGATCACTGATGTTGGGTGAACGCTATAGGCAAATAGTTGAGAGCAGATACTAGCAGGGAGGGTGAAGATCCCGTGGTGCACAATGAGCCCAAGAGGAACGTCTATTAGGTTTGTTAACTATTAGGGAGGAAAAATAGCCAACTGGAATGCCTACTGAGTCGAACCGGTGTTCATAACTATGCAGCTTAGCATTGGAGCTTTTGCAAATTATACAGGTTAGTATTCTACAGCCGCCACGCCGCGTGCAAGCTGGCGGTGAGAGACATTACTACGAACATCAAAATGGCAAGCACATGACGTTTGGTGGACATCATAACCGGCGAGCTGGTTGTCAATGACTCTCAGCAGCCGGCATCAAATATTGTGCAGATCAGTGCTGTCTGTCTGTGAGTCAGAAAGACCGGTGCAGCTTAGATTCGCACGTTATAATGTCAACGGAAATTAAAGTTCACACCCAACGGTTTCTTGATTTCTATCATACACGATCATTTACTAGCTAGCGTGCAGAGCTTACTAGTAGTAGGAAACATCGTACAGTCGCGCCACGGGCAAGGTCCTATACGCCAGTGTCAGCCATCCAATTCACCAACAGGATCACAAGTTGTTCTTGAACGACACAGTGACTGTATATTATTTCGAGATGGGTGTTACTTGGTATACGGCCGCGGTTGTGGATAGTCACAGGTATCATTCCTGAGCGGTCCTACTAACTTTCATATGTGTCTTTGTCAGGCCCTGCCATGGCCAACAATCGATCAACATGGTAATATACCGACCTCATTTCTTCTCGACCTCATCCCGAATATTCTCGTCCGTTGTCTACGCTACCGCACTGGTAAGTCTCCTTCCCCACCAAAACCATATTAATAACTCATCCAGTGACCTAAAACCAGTTCCGTCCGACCTGGCAGACGACAATGAGCACCACTCCCGTCAACCCGTTACCCACATTCGCCCCTCCATCACATCTTCTCAGCTCTTCCACATAATATGTTGATACGGGTATATATAAAACACCAGGAATAGCATTGCGATGTGAGGAGTCGCAGCAGCCGCGAGACACAAGATGCATTTTTATCAAGTCCTGCGGGATGCTGTCAGGTAAGCAACCCAATTTTCTCTGCATGAAGAAAGGTACTGACGAGAGCAGTATTGCATTTGCAAAGGAAGATAAGTACTCCCATCATATATGCGTCGTACTTGTAGAGGATGTAGAGTTTGGTGGGTGTACAGGTGCGCCCTACGACCTCACATGTATTGATGCTGACATTTTTTCGCAGCGACTTGCATAAGACTTTGATTTAACGTCATTCTACACTAGGGTGTGACATGGATGGACGTTACCTGGATATCCACCCGGGTACCACCTGCGGACAGAACGTGGGACGGATGGTAGGGTGGATGGTTCCATCCGCACGGGTACGGGTCAGGGGGGTTGCTAAACTTGGGTATCCGCGGGTAGTCAGTCCTCCAAATAGCAAATATTTTTCAACCGAGTCAAACTCACTACTTGTTACTGAACTCCCACCTGACGTCAAAATCGAACGCTCGTACCACTCGGCCTCGACTGGCTCAAATGGCCCTTGATTTTTTGTCAGCACCTGGTATGTAGGCTTACAAGTGGTATTAACAACGATCTAATACTTCATAGCTTCCTCAGCTGATGCCGAACGTGCTTTCTCCGGTGGCCATCTACAAGTGAACCATCTTCAACATGGTATCAGCTCCCAGACCTTCAAAGCCCAGGTTGCTGTTGGATCGTGGTTCAACACGCCTCTTATGCCGGACCTTGGTGTCGCGACGAATATCATGCGGCAGAAGATGGCAAAGGGCAAGGAAAAAGAAATGGGCAGGCTGGTGTCATCAAAATCGACTCTGATTGAGATTGTGTAGTACTACATATGTTGTATCTACAATTCATAATGTGTCACGACTCACCCGCGGATGACCCGTACCATCTGCAGATCCACCCGTGGTACTCTCACCCGTACGGGTGCGGGTAGGCCTCTGAAGTTCCATCAAGGCTTGAGCAGTAGCGAAACCTCGCAACTTCATTCACAGGCTAACAACTTGTATGTTAGTTGAAAAGGGGATGCAAATTCAATAAAACGAACCTAGTCAGACGCGGGGAATATTTAGCGTGCGAGCTGAAGTTCCAGCTGCATATCATGGACACGAGGGCGATTCCGAAGCCTGCAAGAAGTTCATTGCTTGGTAATAAGACAAATTGAAGACGCCTGCAGCATGGTTGATTCACATCCCACAGCCGGAAAGTGTTATCCTCAGAACCTGTTGCGATGCGAATCCCATCCGGAGAGAACGAGACTGACCAGACACGACTAGTGTGCCCCAACAAGGGCTCACCGACTGGCTGACCTGTCGCTGTATTCAACAGCCGGACAGTGCCATCCTCAGAACCAGTCGCGAAGTGGGTCCCATCCGGCGATAGCGAAACTGAGGTAATGAAATTGGTGTGGCTCCGTAAGGACTGACCAACTGGCTGCCCGGTAGCTGCATCTCACACTCGGATAGTGGTATCCGCAGAACCAGTCGTAATTCGAGTTCCGTCCGGAGAGAATGAGACTGAGGTGACCCAAAAAGTGTGCCCCAGCAAGGCGCTAAGCATTGGCGGGATTGAATGACATGGCCGTTCGAAACATCGAACAGAGTTTAAATTCCGCTCGGAGGTGCCGACGCATACTTTGTCCGAATCCTGATCGAGATCGGTCGATTCCTCTTGATCAGCGCAAAGACGTACGTCGCAATGCCGCTAAACTATTCCAAATGGGATCAACTCGAGCTCTCTGATGATTCCGATATCGAAGGCCATCCGAACGTCGACAAGCGTTCTCTCATCAGATGGAAACAACGGGATATTCACGAGAAGCGCGAGGCCCGCAAAACCAAGATCTCAGCCCTCCACGCCGAGATCGCATGCAATGGCGTCCTCTCTCCACGTCTGCACAGAATTCGCGCTACACTAGGCAGCGCAGACGGCGGGTTAATATACTTCCAACAGTTGGTAGAGAGATTACAAACGCAGCCATCTCCAGAGGCGCCGCCGACGAACGCCAAAGATCAACCAACTTACGACGCGATGGTGTTATCTCTGCTCCTGCAGGTTTGGGATGGCGCCAAGAGCCTCCCTGCAGATGAGCGGGAGGCTGCTGTACTCAGCGGTCTCGATGCGCACATCAAGCAGCTCGCACATCACACACAGAAGCTGGGGAAGGATCTTGTTGACGAGGAAAATGAACAGAAGAAGCACATAACGAGTGAGGATATCCACGAAGGCTTCGATAGCAAGGTAAGATCGGCGATATCTTACTCTTGATTGATGGTATTCACGACGCTCCCGATAGTACACTCCCGCTAAACCACCGCCTCCACCCGTAAAGAATGCTAAAATCGACGCGCCGACAAAGACCAAGGCGACCAAAACCACCGAGTTCGAGGTGCTGAATCCTACTGCCTCGAATTCTAATGCGCCATTGTCGTCGGTTACTCCGAATCATTCTCCAGACTCGGTTGAGGAAGATGAGTTAGAGGAGGAGCTTCCAGAACTTACGCCTTCTCTCGAACAATTCTCTCAATTATCGTTATGGGAGTACACCCAATCTTTCAACTTCATTCAAGCAAATCGCGACGTCGTCGTTCCCGGTGCATCTGACGCGTTACTTGTGGCGGCTTTCCGTGCAGAGTCGAAGGGCCAGTTCGGATACGCAAAGAAGTGCGTGCACCAAAGCTTACTCCTGCAGTACTGCGATAAGCTAGGTAAAGATGGCGTCCGACTATTTTTCCAGAAGCAAGTACCTAATTCCTGCGCAAGCTGACGTACATATACTAATTTGATATCTTCGTAGGATGATCTCAGGCGACCAGCGCGCCATCTCCGTCTTCGTCAATGATGTTGAAGGCACATATTCTCACCTTAAGACGCGTGCAAAAGCAGCAGCAACAGAGACTTCTGACGTGCAGAAGGAGCAGATACAACTTGTGCCCGAGAATCCTTCTGCCACTATCTCGTTCAACGTACCTGATGGTCCTCCGCCTGAGGACTTGCGCCTCGAGGGTCCAGGGACGGAGGACCTGGACCTTGAACAAGTTCGCGAAGCATTGCACATGCGATGGGATGTCTTCCAGAGCTTCACCGAGGACCTCAAGGCTGCGCTCAAAGTTGGGACACTGGAAGAGGTCAACAGAGTGCTTGGCAGTATGGAAGTTAGCGTTGCGGAAGACGTAGTGGCAAAGCTTGATGCGGCTGGTATCATGAGCTTCGTGTCGGGAGGTATCAGGGATGAGACTGGAGATGAGGACAAGGAAGAAGTCGAAGAGAATGCCGAATAACTTAATCCAAGGAGTATGTGTTTCTATGTCAAGACGCGTGCATATTGCTGTATTGTATAATTGCTTTCGAACGAAGAGTCCGATGTATATTGTACATCAATGTCATCTTGCTGACTTGCTTGTCCCGATTCTTTGGTAAGAAGATACGCAGTGCAAACGGCGGCATTGCAGGAAACTTGAAAGATGGAGTCTCAAAATAGCCACTGATTTACACGGGACACGTCTATACAACTAGTCGCGCAAGACAATTGTAAATAACAAAACCTCCCAGCCGTGTATTCAGTCCCTTACTACTACCTCCCGAATTAGCGGAAGTCACTGCGTGCTGTTGGTGCGCACCTTTCAATCGGAATTTCCATTGAGCCCATAAACCAAACCCAAGGCCACTCTAGCAGCTGCCCTCTTACGTTCCTGCGAATCGGGCATCCCCGCAATTTCCTCCTTAAGACCCTGAAGCGCGCTCAGCATGCTTTGCAGATCGAAGCGCTCGAGGTCCGTCTCTGGTGGGTCGGCGGTTTCAACTTCAGACGGCACGGAAAGATCCCCTTGCAGCGAACAGACATCATTTTCATCAGTGGGTGAGAAAGCAAGAGATGTTGCACCGAAGATACGCTCTGAGGTTGCAGCAATCTCAGCATTTGAAGGCATTTCGTCGCTAGAATCTTCGTGTTTGGGGGATTCTTCTGCTTCTGGGTCTCCAAAATCGGAGACCGACCCTAACGACCTATAAGATATACCGAGATCTGAGGCATTCGCGGATAAGCGAGAAAAGTCGTGCTCTTCATTGGCTGGCGTCGATCGCCCGGAAGTATCAGAACCAGAGTCGAAAGTGAACGTTGAACTGAAGCTCAACGAAGGGAGAGGTGGGATTTGTCTCTCAGATGGTATTTGTGCAAGCTGAGTTTCAGCATCTGCTGCAGACGCTGAAGCAGACACGAAAGCGGTGAAATCGTCGTCAAACGTGTGATTGTAGAGGCCCTGGGTAGAGGAATCCTCTGTAGGCGACAAGCTGCCGGTTGTGGCTGCGGCACTCCACGGATCATTGCTTATGGTTTTCTCACTTGTATGAAGATGTCCTTCGAAATTGTCTTCGTCGAGCCACCGCTCTAACTCTTCGAGTTCTCGCTGCATACGATCACGCCCTCCTGGGGAGCGCGTAGCGATGAGACTGCTGAGGTCTTCTCCGGTATCACGGTTCGTCGTCAAGAGGCCAAGACCCCTTCCTTTGGAGGTTTGTACCATGGAGGGCCACATAATTGTGCTCAATGCATCTATGGCCCGGGAAACTCCTGGAGTGGAACTCAGGACGGGTCTCTCCATGTTTCAGAAACATATGCTTACCGCCATGATCATGATGGTCAGAAGATTTTGATAAATCTTGCACATCAATGAATTCAAACCCCAGGGATCCAAGAAACGAGTCTATTTCGTCATCTTCAGTATCTTCGCCTCCGGGCGTAGTAGACGGAAGCCGAATGGCCAGAGATACTTCGAAATCATGATGGGATAGGCGTTGTGATATCATCTGGACATTCTCCCGGTATGGCTGCTCAAAAGTCAGGCATATACAAAAACTATAGCAAGCCTTTGAGCACTTACCTCTCCGACAGTCCATGTGTACACCACGGCGGGCACGCTTTCTAACTCGTGATTGTTCGGTGTCCAATATGGGAGGTGATGGAATTCGAAGTGCACATCAGCAGTGTAGTACTTGTTCGTGATAGTCCAAGGGATGGTGAATGAATTGTCGGTTGCGATCGGGAGGTCACTCTGTGCCAGTCCTGCGTCGACTCGTCAATGCAAGAAATGATTACACTGCAGCGACAAACGTGCTTTGCAGAAACTGCAAGGTGTCGTCTTTCGAAGAAGAGAGAATGAGGACACGACAAGAACAGTCTGCCATCCGTAGTTCGACGGAAATGGTTTAGAGATCGACTGTACAGTGTGCCGCAGGTGCAAATTCAGATAATTTTCCAGAAAACCATATACGAAACACACCTTGAGCAGGCGGTTTCTTAGACAGAAGCTGATGTTATAGGCCGTGGTAAGCGATGAGCTCGATGGAAGCAACAAGATGAGTTCGTCTGCTGAGTAAATCCAAAGGGATTGACTCGGACTCGGACGCGATTTCAGCGCAAACTCAGCTCATCAGTGAACCCATGAGTTAAAAGTTTTTTGCATCAATGTAGCATTTGTAAACTTCTGCTCCTGCTAAACATAACATATGCTAGTATTTATGCTATAGTCGCCATCGCGAGCAACTTGAAGGAACGGGAGCGTGGTGGAATGGAACAAATAAGGGATTGCAAATATGTACACAACAGGGTAGTTCAACGATACCGACTCCTTAACCTACCCTACCAGTGAAACATCATCAATGCATCAACTTTCTCTGGAATCGTGAAGCTACAGGACTGGCGCCGCTGTAATATTCTGCTTCTCATGGCTCAACCAACCAACCAAGCTTCTACTGGCAGGGACTAGCCTCTACATTAGCCACGGCCAAACAGCAGCCGTCCAGAACTGCAGGACCCGCAATATAAGTAACCTCGGCCTTCCCGGAAGTTGAGAATGTACTAGTAAGCGCGGTAAATTCTTTCTCTTGCGCACAACGTGCCATGCTCATATTTACTCCGCATGAATATGTGGGCCCGGATAATATTTATGTCCACAATCGGTACTATGGAGACGCGGGAGGAGGTTGCGCGTCAGTTCAATCTTATCGATAACAGGACGCTGCTGGGCCAGGATGTTCGTTATCTACTAGAGTGCCCTGAGGTATTCCACTCACTGAGAACCTCCAAGTCACATCAGCGTGCACACGTCGACTAAACCTCCACCGATGTCATGGATCTTGTCTATTGGGCACGTTTGAGATCAGTTCTACCGGTTTAAATAACCGGCAAAACTCCAGGGTATGTAAACTATTGAGTATGACCTCGCCATTCGACCTCATCTAGAATTAATAGCCTGTGGAATTATTCCTTGTTCGACCCGATCCAACTCGCTAAAAATCAAAGGCATTTCTCTCGAGCACTTCAGCTTAATGCTTTGATCTTCTTCGGTTCTTTTCAACTCCTCGAAAGCCGCAAACTTCAGCGGCAACGTCGTCAAGCGAGATACCCTCTGCACCAGTACAGCGACACGGAGGGCGTCCTCCAGCATGCACCATCTTACTCTAGAGACGTCGGCTTTCATGTCGTTGAATTTAAATGGTATCATCAGATCTAAACCATATCTCCTAGTCTCGGGTGTTTTTAGAGTTCTGCCAGATTTTGCCACTGTCCCTTCGCATGAGGTCAGGCATAACTGGTTTTGCCAGACCAGTTGGCAAAACTCCAAGTTCTGCCAGAAGAGTTGCGCTGCATGGCATCGGCTCGCCTGTGCCCGTTTGCGCGCGCGCGCTGTTAATGCCAAACGCAGTTGTCGTTCCAAAACATTCAGTATAAATAAGATCATGTTTCCTTCACAACGTTACCAACCACATCCCTCTCCTGGGACCCGGCATTCCAGCTTTTCACCCATTGCACCTTGCAGTACATCATGTTTTTCCTTTCTTTTGCTTCAAGCATTATGCTATAAAATAATTAGTCGATGCACTAATGCGAGCATTGGTAGCATGCACTTGGGATTAATAACGCGCCCAAATTCAGTAATTTGATATACATGCGAGACCCAGCAAACTATATATGATCGTAGCGGCGCTGGGAAGCGCCAGCTGTCCCCGACTCGAAGAAAAATGATAGATTGGCAGCAATCGATATGCATCAAAACCATTCACCTCTGCCAGTATATTCTGTTTTCATTTTAGACAGGTTTAGGGGCTCGATAGCGTGTTCCTGTGACAGACATTCGGTAGCAAGCACGCCAAACTCACGAGCAAGAATCTGACAAACAGACACACTTGCTCCAGTATGAAATCGGTATAGTGCACATCGCTCAACATGATTCGCGAGTGTTTTTCGATGAGACTCGGAGCCTGTTGTAGAGTGTGCGACAGCGTGGCGTAAATCGATGTATTGATACGCGTCTGGACGTCGGTGCGGTTCAGCTTCTCTAAACACCGAGTAAGTAACATCATCAACAAATTCCGAAATCCATGATGAAGACGTGGTTTTAAAGGCTCGCGTAGCTGTGAAAGCGATAGCAAGAGATACACTAAAGACAGGAAGAGCATTAGCCACCGCAGGGCCGTACAAGTTCTGAAACTCAGCAGCGGGCGAAGTGCCCCATATTCTTGTGCAAGCAGGTGGGACAAGTGCCATCAAGAGACTCTTGAAGATCATGTTGTACACAGAGATCCTCGATCTTGAATTCTCGCAGGGGATGGGCGAAATCTGCAGCTGAGAGAATAATAACACAGGCCTGGGGCAACAGAAGAAGAGGGAAAATTAGGAGCGGAGACAACATCATGAATGCACAGAATGATTGTCCGTTTCTGCTTGTTCTGCGGAAAAGGAAAATATATATGGTCGCGTCTTCCTAGTAGAATCTAATGGTGATGCAGACGCAGATCAGAGGAGAAACTGATTGTATAAAGAACATAAGGGCTTGCCGACCTTTCGGGATCCCAAAATTCATCACATTTGGCGCAAATTCGGCGCGCTGATCACATTTATGAGTTGATTAACAATTAGATTCGACGACGACACAAATCAGGCAGGAGTAGCCTCTACCCTAACACTCTCCAGTCCATTCGCATACTGGAATTGCCCCGAGTTCTCATACTACCAATTGTCAGAGGTAGATTCAGAGGAAACGAGAAATAACACACCTCCCACATGTCAACAGCAATCTGACAGCTCTCCCGCACAACGCGCGGAGAATCCTCGCGCGTCATCCATTCTTTCAGATGGGGCAGCACCTCAGGTGTGGCAATTCCTCCAAGCGCCTCCGCAGCCTCGTGTCGCACCATATCGGACTCAGATGCGTCCTGCAGAACATCAAGCAGCGAGGGTACAGAGTGCACGCTCAAGAGTTGACCGAAAACAAAGGCGATTTCGTGCCTGCAGTACATGAGTTCAGCGTCGTGACCAAGTCAAAAATGGAAAAGAGGCAGACTTGAATAGAGCGCTGTCATCAGAGAATCCTGCTGCTAGTGCATCCACGGCCGCTGGCGTCCCGATGTTGCGGAGTGCAAACATAGCCCGATAGCGCTGGAAAAGGGGGACAGAAGTATCCAAAAGCGTGGTACGGAGGGAGACAATTGCAGATTCAGACAGGTCATCAGGTTTGGGCTGGCCAGAGAGAAGTTTGGAGGATGGTGGAGCGGGGTCGATGGAGGTGTATGCCCTGTGTAAGTGTTGTGAATCACGCAGTAAAGGACGTAGAATGGAATATCCAAACAGGACATGAAAGCTACATACGGAGTCTGATCTGAAGATTCTTTTGACACAAGATGCTGGCGTCCCTCTTCAGAATTATCCCATTCAATTTTGGCGAGCGCGATCTCGCACGTCTCACGCACGCTCCTGTTGGGATCTGTGAGGTACTTCGTGAGGACTACCTTGAAATCAGGCGATGAGATTGCGCCTATTGCTTCTGCTGCCTGTCTCGAATGCTAATTAGCATCATGATGCACTGGAGCATACAAAAGCGGGACTGCGAAGCGGGACGATGGAGACGCTCACCTCATGCCGTACCATCGGATCCTCGTCCAGATTCTCCAGCACTGATTGAAGAACTGGGAGAGCTGAGACAAGCTTCATCTGTCCTAAGCAGTACGCAAGCTCATGCTTGAGCAGTGCCGAGTGATCGGCAAAGCCTAGCAGATGAATCATGCATCAGCGCACGCTCATCTTAGCGGGGAATCGTATATAAGGCCTTTCATGAAAAGAGATGACAGTTTATGTTAAGATCGAAAGAAAAAGTATCGCACAAACAAAAATTCAGAGAGCAGACAAAATACACGTACCTTCAGAGATGATCTTAACTGCATCGTCATTCTTCAAGCTTTTCAACGTGAAGAGAGCTCTGAAACGATCATGCAATGGAACAGTACCACTCGTGTTCAGGAGAGCAGCGCGGAGCGCAGAGAGCTCCCTTGGAGAAACTGCGTCCGACATCGAGGAAGATCGAGATAAAAGATAATTCGGCCCAGCGGACTTTTGATTTCATTTGCTAAACCTTGTTCTCCTACATACATATCATGCCCAAGTCAAAACGTTCGCAAATCGGCAAGTTTACACTCTTTGATGGATCGTGATGAAGGCTGATGTTGTATTCTGCGTGGATGATAGTATCTCTCACAAAAGTCGCGAAAAAGACGAGGGAGCATAAAAATCTACTCTTGGCCGAGGTTAGTTTTTGTGGAATCTGTTCTTTCCTCTGGATGCATTCTACGGAGACAGACCCATAATTGCAAGACGGTTTCTACTGCTTGGCCCCCTGCTATGCAAGTGCTAAACGTTTCTTCCCCAAGGTACAACAAAATGCCGAAAAATGGAAGTACTGCTGGTTGTTTCAAGTCGGCGCGATGCGAAATGCACATCTAAAAACGGTGCGAAAACTATGGAAAGAGTATGTCCTCGCTTCTTTTACTGTCTATACCATCGACTCACTACTTGCAGTTCTGCACGGATATTTTTTGGTCGAGGAGCGGTAATGGCCAAAGCATTGGGCACGACAGTAGAAGAAGAGCACCGAATGGGACTCCACCAACTAGCCCAGGTGAGTCACCATTTCCAAGTTCATCTCAGCTTTAACAAAATATGTCAGCAAATAAAAGGCCAGGTAGGGCTGTTTTTCACAGACTCGGAACCTCAAGAAGTGACAGAGTGGTTCAACGATTTCCAACAAGCGGATTATGCGCGAACGGGAAACAAGGCTACGCGGACGGTGATACTGCCTGCAGGACCTGTGATGCGGGTGCACTCTGACCCGCCTGAACCGTTCCCACATAACGAGGACCCGCAACTCCGGAAGCTGGGTCTTACGACATCGATGAAGCGGGGTGTACCAACGCTTGAAAATCCTCATCGAGTATGTGATAAAGGGAAGGTTTTGACGGGCGAGCAGGCACAGCTACTCAAACTTCTTGGTGAGAAGATGGTGGTGTTCAAGGTTGGATTGTTGGCAAGGTGGGACGCTGCTAGCGGGGAGGTTGTTCAAGTTGAGGGTGGATGTACGGATATAGAACGGGAAGGTGATGAGATCGAAGACGAGGATGAGATGAGCGAGTGAGTTTCAACTGAGCGCTTTACTATGTGTACATCTCGATTTACTCGACTTGACTGGGCACGAGGATGTAAAGACTACAAGAAGACGACGGGACACGTATGTGTTTATCAAGTTCTGTCACGAAAATAATTGGCAAGATTTACTGTGCCGACGGTGCTTTAGCACAACATGTATCAGTTTGATAAAAAGTTACAGGAAATGTTCCGCCTTCTCGGTGTTAACATCAGCGTGCGGGTGCGTAGTGATGAGGTAGGAGAAAATGCCCCTAACTTGAGTCTCCTCTCCCCTTCCTACCAAGTCTGACACTTTCGAGGATAGAAAGTCTGTAACTGACACATCTCCCACATATGATGAGATCGCCCTGTCCACATTCTGTCCACTCCATTGGCAGATGGCAGCCGAGTTTATTCTCCTTTCTATTGAAGAAGCAGAGACGAACAATTGTCCTATCATGCATCCATGATATAGTCTCCGCTCCTAATCTCACTCATTTCTCTGTCACAAAAATAGCCAATTGCTTGCTTTTGCATAAAGATGTTCCAGAAACGCCTGCGCGCAAATCCAACACAGGGATTTGGCATTGAATTTATTGCAGGGGGTATGTATGAGCCATACCAGTACCTCTTAGTATTTCTGGTGCTGATGTCAATCTTTGCAGGGTACATATGGTTATTAAGATCCCGTTTGGCGAATGAGCGATGGCGCATTGATCTTAGACTTTCTCATGATAGTTTGCCGGCGTGTATAGACTCCATTGTGCTCGTCATCCAGGCACCCAGTGAGAAAACCTCACTCGAATTCCGTGTTGTCGAAAATTTACCATGAAACCCGTGGACCGGTACGTTCGTTTTAAGTCAAAGCATACTGATTCACAATTCATCTTTCCACTGTTGGTAATGCAGATCTGAGGCCTGGGCTGTCGAGGCACCAGAAAGCCGCCGCGGCTGCCACACGTTCTACTGGCTTTTGGACTGGCTGATGAACGAGTAAATCCTCCCTATCTTGTTTTACAGTTGTTCTGATAACCATGTTGTTAGTACAACCATGATGGATTGCGATGGCACTCTGCATGCAAAGCTGGAGATCACATTAATGTATTGACTCCTTGGCACTACTACTTACTACTCTTATACTCCGTCACTAGCTTATGTACTTCTAGTATTTATTCTGTCGATTTCGTTGCTTCATGTTATAAAGTGTTGCCTTTGACCCTGATAGTAGATCCCTACTTCAACTCACACGACCATACATCTGAGCATCACATATATCATTACGTAACGGACAATAGTAAACATGGGCACAAGACACCTCACTCGAAGAACGACACCGGATGGAAAAATTTCCACCTCCCCTCGATATCAAAGGCAAGCGCAGTCCTGAATCTCTGCCGCATTGGTCTGAGTGTGCAGAACTCGGCCATGAAGTTCCAATGGTACAGTCCCCATTTTACATCTCGTGGATTACCCCGAACCATCTTTCCTGACCAGCATCGATCAATTAACTTGCCACCAATTCCAGAAGCATACAATTACCTTCTCGTTGTGCAATGTGTTGTCTCCCTATGCGAAGGCTTTGCGTCGTTCACTGGCCCACTGTACACATTCAACATCCTCAGCCTGTCATTCTCGCACCTGCCACTCTTGACCTCTCCACACTTCCGCAGGACGATCATCGTGCATTCTATAGTTGAAAACGGTTGACCCGCGCTTCTCACAGTCCTCTCCTTCATTAACTCGACAAATCTGTCAGACAAGCTCCTCATAGACGTTCTCAGTAGCTATCAAGCTTTGACGGACGTTGTTGGGATGCTCGCCCTCGGCACTCCTCGCGACACATTGTTCAACTCAATTTCCAAATTTCCAATACTTTCGCGAGTAGTGAACCTTACGTTGAACCTCCAACGTCAACTTCCTTTACGGATTAGGGTCGACAGCATCTCTATAGCTTTTCGAGCGAAATCTAGCATGTCTCAAAGTGTCGGTGGTCGTGTGAGCAAGGCGATGCGCGCAAAGCTTGCCGCAGGTGTTTACGAAGTACTTGCGTGGTAAGGGAAAGATGTACTATCAGGGTCAAGGGTAATAAATCATGACATGAAGCAATGAAATCAACAGGATAAATACTACGATAGAACATAGAAGGGCGAGAGTCGCAAGGTTAATAAGATCTCCAGCTTTGTATGCAGGGTGGGATCGCGCCTTGCTAACAACATGATCATCAGATGGGACTCGGAAGACCGGCCAACAGAACGTGCCGTAACTTTTTGACGCCTCAGCGTTACTCTTGAAATCAGTGTGCCTTGACTTGCACGGGGTAGGTGGAACTTTGTCACATTATTCCCATCTTCCCGCTTACACGCGCTGGCAGACTGTCCTGAAAAAGAATAATTCCGATGCACGACCGTTCTTTCGCCCTATGTAATTCCAACAAGTACGTGCGCCCTGCAAGGATTTACAAATGAGTCTCAGGAATACCGAGAGTATCCGTGCGCGTGTTGTACTCGTGCAAGCAAGGAACGAACTCGGTCTTTTTGGGTGTGACAGAGGAAGGAGTCGGGAGGGCTTCTCACCTGTTGTGACCCTCAAAGGGAGGAGTAGGAGCGGAGAGTATATCGGAGAGTCGTTTCTGTCTCATAAAGTCTGTCGCTCCGAGGTGTCGTCGTGTCTTGGTATCATAAATGAGATAAGACGGTCTCAGACGGTCACGGTCGAGGGTAGTCTGAATTCCGGTGAAGTCGTCGCTGGTAGCTTGAAGGCTGATGATCGATGTTCCTTGAAGAGGATCAGTAGCGACCCCTTGAGACTCATTAGTCGAAGACTGATGGGCCAAAATGAAATGCGTACCTGGCGGAGTGTGTTGCTGTCAAGGAACGTTTTGGATTGAGTGTTGGTGTGATTTTATTGGTCGATAAATATGACGTCGGTCTGCTGTGTCGGCTATGTAAGAACGAGCCTAGTATTAATTCAAACATCCAAAATGTTGGCTCCATTTCCTGTATACCTTAAATCTACTGCGGCTTCAACGTCGGTCTCGACGACGACAACGACGACGAAGATGAACGACAGTAGTGATAATTTATCCGATATTATTGATCTCTTTCCGTTTTCTATTTCTTCAACTTATGAACCACTGCCACCTAGACCACCAAAGAATCCGGAAAGGTTGAAGAGGGACTTTGTACCAGTGAGATCCAATTTGACTGATTGTAATGTACTCTAACCAAAGCTTGAATTTGTATAGTTTATACATAGAAGAACTCCACCTCGTTATCCACCACCAACTTCCCCTCTTCCTCCATTACCACCGGATCCAATAATGTATCCTGCGCCGGGTGGTCTCTCTCCATGGACTACGCCATCATACCCATCAAAATCTATACCGACTGTAACTACACCTCAATCAGATTTCATACTACGCGGCCCCGTCGGTGCACGTGCAGCTTCAGCCGCTCTTCCATCCAACGTACGTCTGCCGCGTACAACGCCATCACTCATCCTTATTCATAATCACAGGTACCCAACTCACCCACACTAGATGACAACAAACCATCTTCCGATCCTGCACTCGCACTCAATGTACATGGCGGCATCGACACCTCACGTAGGCTCCACCACCGTTTTAGGCGTTATCAAGTCCCTTATCCCAGGAATTATGAACGAAAGGTTGTAGATCTGTACGTCCCTGTATTCTTCCCTGATCTCAACTCATATCTGTCCAGAGACGCCATCGATACCCTCCTAACCCGCCAAATGAGCGGCGGTTCCTTGACTTGGCATGCATTCCCCAAATCCTGGAACGAACCATCCGCACAGAGTCCCTTCAAGAGAATATTGGATCTAGGCTGCGGTGATGGCGTGTGGGTAATCGAAGCTGCCAAGTACTGGAAAGGCTGCCAAGTCGTCGGTCAGTCCTATCTAAGCTACCCCTTTTGAGGAGTGCTGACTACTTGCAGGTCTTGATATCGTACCTCTCCACCCGGACCTTGCCCGTCTCTCCAGAAACAAGGATCTCCTCAACAGAGTAAGCTGGGTTCAAGCAAATTTGTAAGTCCACCCACCTAGTCCTTATCCCGCTCTCATCCTTGACTTGCACAGCCTCGAAGGCCTTCCATTCCCAAACGAATCCTTCGATTTCGTGCACATAAAGCGTATCGCTCGAGGCGTACCAGAGGACAAGGTCCGTCTGCCTTTCCTCCATCGTACTATGCTGACACCGAATAGTGGGACGACCTCTTCGAAGAAATCACTCGCGTGATGAAACCAGGCGCAGCATTCGAAGTCGTCGAAGAAGACCTGACCTTCCCGGGGTCAGATGGGGAAGGCAGCGAAGTTGGGACCCTGAGAAGTAAAGGAAGCAACATTTCCATGTCCATCTCCAGTCTAAGCCCCGGGACCGGATCAGGGAGGAGCAGCGCAGTTGGGAGCACGAGCAGTTCATCGAGCTCTGCCGGTTCAGCTACCACCCCTGACTCTATGTCCTCCATCACCGTCAACGCCCACTCCCATCGTGACGACCTTTCCAAACAATACCCAACTATATCCATCTCCCTCCCTCCTGACAACCTCTCAGCGCCTTCGACATACCCGTTCATCCATCGTTCCCTATCCGTTCGCCAGCCTCCCTCTGTCGATAGGTCGCACGAGCTGAGGAGGCCGAGGACAGCTACTACACCTCCGAGTCACTTCTCGCAACCGATCCCCTCCTCGCAATCGTTCCCCCCGAACCCCTCACAGCAAATCCTTTCGAACTCCTCTTCGCAGAGCACGTTCCTTTCTTTCTCCTCAGACAACAGCACACCAACACCAAGCACCATGAACAAAATTTCAACGCTTTCACTGACCCCCCACCCCCCACCATCCCAGAAATCTAACAAGGCTGCGCAGGCCGTGTTGATGGAGCCTGCCTTTACTCCGTTTTTCGTCACTGTGGGCTCTAAAACTGGGTCTGGATCTGGGTCTGGTTCTGGTTCTGCTTCCATCAATGGTTCCATTGCTGGTTCCGGCTCTGGCTCTGCGTCTCTCTTTACTCCCAGTATTGCCGGAACCAGTACATCAAGCTCGGGTTCACCCCCAGCACCAAAAAAGAATAAAGCAGCGCAGGCAGTGCTGATGGAACCTAATGCTGCCTTTTTTTTGCCGCAGAATAAGAGCCGGGTTTCGTTGATGGGGGAGAGCTCTAGCTCTAGTTCGGGTTCGAGTCAATCCGGGAAGGAGAGCGGCAAGGGACGGAGCAGAGGCTCCTTGGGGAGTCGAGTGACCGGCTTGGGGCTATTCGGTGTCAGGACGAGTCCTAGTGCAACCGTTGGAAGTCCGAGTGCAAGTTCGAGGGTGTTGGATGAAGAGTCGGGTGAGGGAACGGGTCATTTGGATGTACAGTTTTCTGTTAGTACGCCGCCGGATTTGCGGGGTGCGGCGTTTGAGCTAGGGAGCGTTGTACCACTGACACCGCCACTACCACTGGATTCGCGAAGTGTCGTACTGCTGGACGTCGTCCCGCTGGATCCGCGAGACCATACGGTCCTCGAGACGATCTACAATGAGATGCACGCGGATCGGTTCATTAACCTTTCTCCGTTGAGTTTGTTGGCTAATACGGTGGGGCTGTGGTTCAAAGGTGAGTGTTCGTCGTTCATTTCATCATTTTTGGGCGTGGCAGATGATGATGGGCAGTGGAATCATGAAGGGTGTCCCACTCCAACTCGGGTGGTGCCTATATATCCAAAACGTTCACCCCGCTTAAAACATATCTTCTACTTCTCTGCAAGCGATGTCAGGGTTAGAGCTGACTTGGATGCGTGTAGACGTTCGGACGCACCCGCCGATCCTGTTGCGTTTCCCACCGCCGAGGGAACCTGAGAGCTCAAATTCGCTATCGGTATCGAGCGTGGGTGGGTCTGGTGTTGGTGCCGACAGGAATACTTACTCGAAGACCACGATCATCTCGCTGGATGGTCTCAGCAACGGCGCATCGCCCTACGCCTCCCTCGATTGCGCAATCTCTATCCAACGACAGACACAAATGCGGGCTCTGCCGAACCCCGCGTTAGATGTCGACCTAAAGTTCTTGAATCTCCATCTGGCCCTGCGCGTGAAAGAGATCGTAGCATGCGCAGAAGCGATGTGGGAGTGGGTAAGCGAGTTTCAGAGAGGCATGGGGAGGACGGATGGGGTGTATGGCAAGATCATTGGGTTGACGAGGTCGCAGTTTGATGAGCTGTTGTTGAGGTTTGAGCTGTGAGTACTCTTTCTCTCTCTTTTTTTTCTTTCAGTGTGGATGTGTGGATTTGAGTTTGTTGTTCGGTACCAATGCCGTTGATCACTTCTCGGAATCCTGATGGTGAGACCTTGGAGGTGGCGTGGAATCGCCTTTTTTTACTAGCTTCGCGGGGGCACAGCAGCTGGATGATACGCGTTTAGAACATTCAGTCTACGTGCTCCCAATAGGGGCATTGTTTCCAAACAGGGCCAAGTCTAGGGGGATAGTGTTTCAATTCAATCCCTTACTTCTTCTTCTGATTAGCTGAACCAATGGTTTCTGATCTTGTCTTCGCGATAACATGATCTAATCGACTTTTTTTGTTACAGGGATATGAGGGAGCACATGGGTCTCGGATCTGTGCTCGAGGACCGGTTCAATTGGAGTATGATATCGGGGCCGACACCGCAGGAGAAGCGCTCGTTTGACACTGCGTGCGAGAAATGGGAGGCGTATCGGAGGCTTGGGGGTGGGAGTGGTGATCGAACCCCTTGCGCCGTCGGTGTCGCCGCTCCACACCCCGCTACGCGTCTGAGCCGCTCATTACGAGTCTTCGTTGCATGGAAGCCTACAGCATGATGATCATGATCAGCGCTTCTTGCAGCCGGATCTTAGGCAAGTTGCATGTGACCACGAGGCGTGTGGCGAAGCGCCTCGTTTCAGAGTTTGAACCTATTTTTCTTAATATGGGTTGTTCAAGGTTCCGTGCCGTTAGGCCCTTCCTTGTCTTTTTTTTTGGATTATACCCTCACCTTGCGACTTGGGCTTCCATTCATTGCTGTATTGGGATGGGGAGCAGAGGGGGGATAAGGATTTTCTTTTTTTGGGGGGTGAAGGTATCGTAATTTCCTGGTGGCGTTCTCGTTGTCCTCGGCTTGTCCAAGGGGAAGGGGAAAAACCTTGTTCGCCAGCCTGAGTCATTCCGCATATCGTGATTCATATTCTTGGGTCTCAGATATGTCGCCGACTAGTCATTTCCGCTCTCATCATCCCCGCACTTCCCCTCTACCTCCGAAGTTGTATCATTAATCGTGCATGTTTCTGGACGCATGTCCTGTATACCATTTCTAGGTGCTCCAACTAGCCATCTCGGCACCGCTACAGGTGACACACGTTGCATAATTTTATTAAAGCTATTTATTCCATGCATGCTAGGGCTTGTTGTATGCTTTTTATTTACGTGGCTGTCATGGCTAGCGTAGTTGTCATGAGATGAGATTGGTTAGCTGTTATCTGTAGGCGTTCCAGTGACGGACGGGCTGTCCTTTCGGCTTTTCGGATTGACTCAGGTACCATCCAGCATGGAAACGGGTAAGGAATAAACGATTTTCATTGGCTGAACTGCGTAACCGGGAATGTTGGGTTCTACGTACATGATAAGGGTCTTTCCATAGAATTCAACGCATGTGATTATTGGAGCTACCAAGGTCTTGATAACCGGGCGACTCGCACGGTCGTGACGGCACCACAAGGCACGTTTTCATTGAAACAGATTTCTTAAGCTTAAGTTTGGGATTGAACGCTGTCTGTCTGACCTGCTCAAGGAACGTGGGTGATCGATTATGGAGCGACGAGATCCGAGTAGTACGAGCCTGACGTATCGTGAAGGGGTGGAGTAACGTCCACGTACGTCGATCTCGTTCAACTCACTCCATGGAGCTCGAGCAATCACCCATGAGAAAAGAAACAGACTCCGCGACGACGACGACGACTCATCCAGAGGGTCGATCAGAACCAGAAAGGAAAAACGATCGCGTGCCCCCATCGACAGAAATGTACATGCCGCTCCCGTTTCGTTGAACAGTTCACGTTTCAGCCGCGGGTTTTTTTCGTCAATCACTGCCTTTGTTAAACTGCTAATAGCACAGATGCGAGTCGTGTATGGACGGACAGAAACGAGTACGAGCACTTTTGACGCCAACCACATGATAACATCCAAAATACTGAATGAGGTTTGGAGAAAGAAATATGGATAAGACCAAGTCAGGGGGGAAACAATGGGAAATGACCAGGCGGATTCATCAATTATTTGTACAAATTCAGCCAAAATAGCTGTGAGTAACTAACAGCGAAGAAGCTGAAGACGAAGAAGTAGAAGCATGCAGAGAAGTGAGTAAAGCATAAAACAACCCAGTTTGGACGGACAAGAAAGCTTATCATGCATGAAAGTAAGCACACGTCATTATTCGTATCATCATCTTCGGCCATAATGACCACCCTGACTAACTGGCGGGGGCGGGGCCCAATGCGAGTGCTGCGCGGCAGCAGCGGCCAGTCCACCTAAAGGTTGACCGCCCTGGCCTCCAGGGCCACCAGGTCCAGGGTATGAATAAGTACCTGGAGGTGGCAAGCCCATGTGGCCCCCGTACATTCCAGGGTCTGTTGGGCTTCCACCATGTCCACCACCAGGTGCATGATGTCCATGATGTTGGGCATGAGTACCGTACCCTCCAGTCGGGGATGTTCCGTACTGAGGAGATTGAGGCACTTGAGAATGTTGTTGTTGTGGACTCGTCGGAGAGCCAAGTGATATTTGTGGCGGAGGCGGTGCCTGCGGCTGTTGATGTTGAGAGGCAGCTGGGATAGAAAGGGGCGGAGGGATAGTGCTATTTGGAGTTTGCGGCGATCCAGGACCGGTACGACCAGGCCCAGTGCCAGTTGTAGACGGACGCCGACGACGTTTGTCTCCTGCTGCGGCTGCGCGATTACCGCGAGCAGCCTCTTCGTCAGCTTCATCGTCACCGTCCTCCTTCGTGGCGCTTTGAGGGCCACCAACAGGACCACCTGGAATTGCAAGGCCTCCAGGAAGGTTAGTGCTTCCAGGGCCGGGCAAAGACATGGGGCCAGACGCACGACCTATAGGCGTACCGACTGGCATTGAAGAAGGCAGCGAACCATGTGGGGCATTGAGACATGCTTGAATGAGATTCTTGCCCTCTGGTTGAGTGACGAGAGGTTGAAGCTTTGAGGTTGTAAAGGTGTAAACGAGACCTGTTTCTGATACAACGAGTAAAAGGACTTGAGTGCCTGTGAGTGTAGAGAGCTCGTATGCCTAATGATTCGGTTAGATAAGCGAAAGAGTATATTGATGAAATAAACCTTTTTCATGATGCCTGCGAAAGTGTAAGAACATATTGAGGAAAAGTACAGAGAGGGCAAAGGAAGTCGATCGCGTACCAGCTTTCCTTTTGGAGAATGTTATGTGACGTCTCGATTTATCTTGAATAAATTCGATCTTAATCTTTCGCCTTCCTGCCTTCTTGTCCGACTTGGGTTTCTCCTCCTCATCATCGTCGTCTCCACCACTCTCGGCAGCATCTTGATCATGAATGAAACCGTCTTCTGGTACGCCTGGTTGTTGTACTGGTTGTGGAAGATGTTGTTGGTGAGGTTGTTGATTAGCAGGTGGCGGTGGTTGCTGTTGAGGATCCGCAATGACGGGATTTGCGAGATTGAGGTCCGTGCGTTGGCGCTTACGCATTGTTGGTGAGGAGGCGGCGGGGTCGTCTTGAATGCTCTGACCGGAAAGGGAAGGTTGTTGGCTGTGATGAGCCGCGGCGTTGGAATACGGATAAGATGGTGAGTTAGTGGTAGTGGAAGTAGGTTGACGGCGATAGGCCATATGGGTTGTTCACCCTACGACGACGATGAAGAGGACGCGTTGAAATAAAAGATAATTTGAACGTTGAACGCGACTTGGAGGATGTTAGTGTCAGTGCGGACGGCGTCCTTAAAAGGAATCGCTGAAGTTGGAAGGAGGTGGAAAAGGGAGGGAGTTGTCAACGGGGCGTGTGTTGTCTCAGTCTGGACGATCAAAAAAAGACTGTCCTTGTGGTCATTTATTTGGTCATAATCGGAGTATCAGATGCCCGCCAGGCACACCGCGGTAATCCCCGCCGACTACTTACAGCAATACTTCCGCAGCTATCGCTCCCACGATACCCGCTTCCGTAATTATTTCACTTTCCATTTGGAATTACTATCCCTTTTATAGAAATGATTACCTCGTGGCAATCTCAAACTTATCCATTTTAGTAAAACATGACAAACCTCGTGTCACAAAATTCAGTCTCCGCTTCATCCAATCATAACAATTCTGACGTGACAACCAAAAACAACTTTTGATTGTAATAAAATATACAACAGTCCAAACGCAAGTATGAGCTCATGCTCCTGTGGCGCTTAGCGCGCTCTTGTCCTTTTCCCTGTACAATTTTGACATTCGAAAGTTCTGGACATTGGTCTCTTTACGTTTCCCGGTCTTCATCATCATCCAAGGGGCCGGGCCGCATTGTCGGTCACGTACTGATGGTTGGAACGTGTCAAGACGTTGTTGATGGAACGACCGGGATGCCAAGTCCTGATAGTGCGCTTGTGACGCACTCGTCAATATTTCTGGCCTTGCTACCGAGCCGGACCCGTTCAAGGGCAATTTCGATAGCTCGTACGTCGCACCGACTACGCCAAGGTTGCGGCAATATCCCGTGCACGTACGCCGCTACGTCTGCATCTAGTGTAATGAGTAAATACAAGACGTATCCACAACGAACAATCCATCAGTCAGTCCAAAACTAAATACATAAAGCATACGTACCACTCGGCTCGCTCACGAGTCGGCTCAGGTGCAAATCGTTACAGTCTTTGTCACGACAAACACCCCCACCAGGAACTTCGTACTGACATACCCGAACACCCGAGTCGCTAGCACTGACTTGTCCAAGGGCGCGCTGCAAGCTTGCAAGCTTCAATGGCTTGAGATCTGGAACAAAAACAGTCGAACATGAATGAGATAATGATGGTGCACAGTAGATAAGCGAAGTGCGTGATGAGGGCGATGATAAATTAGGTGCATGGCTCGCACTGGCTTGCGATGACGATCTGGATGAATGAGTGGCAGTTCGCCGAGGATCTTGACAAGAATCGGCATCAAGAGGCGTTGTACGTAATTGGGATAGAAGTAGAGGGTAGGTCGAGAATGGCGAATCATAATACGGAAAGCTCGTTTGAGAACCTTGCAATTCCTTCTTCAGGACCTGGCATGCCACGCCACCCCCGACGTCAGCATAGATAGGCCTAAATAGGCCTCGCAGCCTCGATTATCGAATAGATCGAGACGCACCTCTGACGACGATAGGCCATCAAACACGCCAGCAGTTTGATGAAACGTTGCGCCTAAAGATTCCTATATCCGATTCCGCAATCACAAATGGAGAAAGGAAACAGAAAATTAGAGTCAGTACATAAAACGCACTTGAATGAAAAGAGAGAAAGGTTCTTGCCCATTTTTCGGAATGTGCTTCCTCTGTCAGCGCTGCAAAAATCAAACAAGGTATTAATGTAACAAACGGATGGGAACGATGAGGTCAGCGCGACCGCGGAGAAGTGAGGACATGCTTAACCAAGGCAATGAGTTACGAACCTTGGTCTTCGTCGACGGTACTATCATTAGTGATTGGCTCGAATCCTACACCCCCTGAGTAGACCCAAGTAGTAATGGCGAGGATCAAAAATGAAAAGAGTGACCAGAAAAGGGAAAGGAATGAACAGCAAAGGTACAACAAAATGAAGTATAAAAAAATTATAACAGTCAAGACCCAGAGGGGGGGGGGACAAACAAAGAGATATATCAGCCGGCTGTCGGACTGGTGAAGAACCAGGAAGAACCCATGGTGTGCTTGGCTGAGCTTATTTCGCTGCTGGTGTTAACAGCAGCTTCCTCAGCGGAAATGACCACACGAATATCGGCGCTTTCTTGGACTGCCGTCGGTTCAGTATGATCTGCAGACCCACATGAGCACCACGTATCGCATTGTGAGAAAAGGAAAGGGAGTAGAGATCAAGGGTAAACACAGTCTATACTCAAAAATAGATCGCAGTTGAAATGCAATGAAATGAAATCAATGCCACGACATGACAACGCTATACGAAGACGACACAGGCACAGGGTAATGAAAGACTAAAGCGAACCTTGCGTGTCTGCCATAACGGCATCTTCAGCGTCTTCAGACGACTGTGTACCCCCAACATCGCCATTATGAAGGGGCGTGGCGGCGTCCTCCTGGTTGATGGGCGCTCCAGAGCCACCTGCCGATTTAACCACGGCAATCGAAGGAGGTACAGCAGGATCAGCTGCGAGAGGCCCTGCGGCTGCAGGTTGGATTACCGGCGTCGTTTTCCCCGACATCTGAAACGTTGGTAAATCATCTTACGAAGTCAAGGCAGCACAAAGGGAACACACAGCGGCAAGTTTTTTCTGCCGAAGCTCTTCTCGCTGAGCAATCATTTGGCGCATCCTTTTGATCTCCTCCTCTTTCTCTACAAGAGCAGCAGGCGACATACCCGGAGCATTAGAGTTGATTTGATGCAAATTCAAGGGAGTCGAACGCCCCTCGCCATTAGCGAAACTATTGGACGAAATTGGCGTTCCATGTCCACTAAACCGTGGGGGACGCGCGAAGACCATTGGTGAGTATGATGATGGACCGTCATGTGGACCGGTATCACCAGTCCCTTCGCCATCTCCATCATCCTCGCTATCGCTCAGTTCGATGACACATCGTCGCATGCCACTCACTCCCGCAAAACTCCCTGTGTTCCGTCGAAGTAGATTAGGATGCGTATAGCCATTATTCGAATAACCGTTGCCAGAAGAAGCTCTGGAAGTACCAGGACCGTGGTCGAAATCAACGAAGTCTGCAGCGACTGGTCGCTTGGTGCCCCTTCGTTGTACGCCATCGGTGTCATAACCTGAAGTAGCGGATGCGGGTACTGGAGTGGAATTAGAGTAATCAGCCGGCGCGGTGCATGAAGATGCGCCAGAATACGTATCCGAGGATGGTGCAGTGGAATTGCCGGACAAAGGTGGAGTATCAGTCACCGGCGAAATAGTACCGCCTACTCCAGATGTTTCTGAGTCAGCTGAATACAAACCAGATGGCGCCATAGAAGAGGTTGATTGCGATGTGACAAGACCAAGGAACGCCTTATCAACTTCCATGTTTCCAGGGCTGGAGTACCGTGCCGGGCGCAAGGATGGAGATTTGCTACCGTTTTCTGCGATTTCACTGTCCACAGCAGGAATGCTCTTTAAAAAATCTTCGACAGTCTCAGTTGGAGCAACATAGGACATTTCAACGTCCCTGTCTCTCGAAGATGAACCGCCAGGGGAATTAGACTGCTTGGCCTTGCGAGAAGCAAAAACAGCTTTTCGAGCAAGTAGCTCTTGTCGTCGTTGTTGTTCAATCATGTGAAGAGAATGAGAAGATGACGAGTCGACTGCTGATGGGGATGTGGGTTCCACCTTCACGTCAGTGGTCTCACCACCTGACGATATACGGAGGCCAAGACGAGTAGCGAGTCTGCCACGTGAGTGATCAGAAGCACCCGAAACTGGGCTAGTCAATTCTTTGTGAGAAGGGATTGCTGGCGGCGGGGGCATCGCTGATGAGGAGGAACGAATTGATTGGGAAGGTGAAGCAGGAATGGAGCACATCATTTCAGGGGTAGGGTATGGAATGAGACCATTGGTATCCAAATTTGTGGGCATCCGCAAATTAAGTTCGGTGAAAACATAGAATACGACGTGGCGGCTAAGGCCACAATCGACGAGGTACTCAGGGGGAACACCCCATCCAAGTAGATCCAGGACGATGTCTTTTGCGGTGTTATACTGATCTTCGGTCACTGTATTATAAGAGTAAAAATGATTAGTTAACGTCTTCAATAAAAAGCTAATACGAACTGGCCAGCCCTGGCCTGACATGATCTGGGTCAAGTCTATACGTAGGTGTCTCAAGAACAAATGGTTGCAGGAAAGTTGGTGGCGGTGACTGGTAGATTTCTGATCCGAAGGCAGGATTTGAAGTGAAGGGTGATTCGAGGCGAGGTGAAGGCCTATGCCTATTATTTGACTCGACTGGAGAGGTAGAGACACGTTTGGAAGCGACGGTGTCCTTCGAGGAAGTTTCGAGCCTCCGAAATTTTGGAGGCGGGGAGGTAGGCCTTGGCGGTGGGGCGGCTTCTTCCGTATCGCTGATTTCACCTTCCTCTCGGATCTGACCATCTTCAATTTCTGATATCGGATTATGAATCTCCTCTGATGTCGATGGAGCCCTTATTTCTGTCGCGGGAAAATTTGCAGAAGGCGTTGAGGATGTAGCAGTATCTTCTTGACCGTAATCTAAGTGCAGGGTCTGCTCGACCAGAGGACGTTGAGGTATTACTGGCGGTTGCTCGACAGTAACTTTGCGGCGCTTTCTTGAAAGCAAAGCGGCTGCGCGCAATGACTGGGCGGGATCAACTGAGTCAAGATCCTGCGGTGGTGGATTGTCGATATCCATAATAGTGCGACTTGGACCTGCGAAAGAAGCTAAAAGACCAGCGATTTCCTGTTTGCTGATTGCAGTAAGAAGACACTGCAAGTTTGAGAAAAGGTGCAAGCGTAATTGATGGGAATGTAGGTGCAAGGGGACCAAAACCCACAACTTTCGGGTGTTTTGCTGACGTGAGCCGACACACAACGCACGGACCCTGGGCCACACTCTTTTCTTAGAGCTCAAATCCACAATACACCATCCGCGGGAGCTCCCCGACTTACTGATTCCTGGCATGTTTTGTGTCCGTCGAATTGAACAAAAATTGTAAAACTAGTCTTTTTATTTCGTTTTGCATTGGTAAATGACTGTGATGGCAGGGACATTGTTTTAGTGTCAATATGACCGTTAAGTTTCAACGAGTTTAGCCAAGTAGTAAGCATGAGCAATCCTTTGCAGGTTCAAAACCTGCTCAGCAAATTTTTTTATATACCGCCAATCAAAATAGATCATGTGACCTAGCTACTTAGTATAGAAGATATTTCAACGTTCTTGCTTCATGCCTCTCGACGGACACAGCTACCTGACATCGTACGGATGGTCAGGCAAAGGTGCGGGCCTTCGCACGGGCGCCATCGACAGGCCCCTTGCTATCCCCCAAAAACGAAACCTCGCTGGTGTAGGCAAGGACCGTGATGAGGCATTCCCCTTCTGGGACCAGTGCGTTCTATCCCGTTCAAATTGTCCGATATCTCATCTATTCGAAGCCTATATTCAGCTGCCACAAAAGCTATCACCATCAAGATAGCAGATGATGATGATGATGACGACGACGACGACGATCAAAACGAGGTCTGCATTCGCATTTCATACTGCGCCATCACTCACTCGCCGTACGATTAGGATTCATTAAGGTCCACGACACTTCAACTAAAACGAACCACGACAGGCATCATCTCGAATAGAAGACCGTTGTCGGGTACCCCTGCATCCGGAATAGCTACCCCAGACTCAGACATCTACCCACGCATCTCCGTAATGACCATTGCGAAACGCGAGGCTGCAAGAAAAGGCTTATACTCTCGATTTTTCCATGGGCCAACATTAGCCCCTGATGATCCCAGCAATTTGTCATCATCCCCTACACCATCCCCCCTGCATTCTGCCGATTCAACTCCCGAAAGAGATATTGCTCCTCAGACTGACGTCCCAAGCAGGAAGCAAAGTACAAAGCGAAAATTGTCAGAGCTGCTCGAGACTCGAGAGCAACGGAAAGAAAGAAAAAGACTGAAACGAGAGAAAAAAGAGAAGAGAGCAGCAGAAGCTAGGCAAGAAAAGTCCGTACTACATGGTTTCGAGACGAAGGACGAGCGTAGGGCGCGGAAGGAAGCCAAGAGGGCTATGAAAAGATTGGAGGCAAATTCTCCTGATATTGCAGAATTTGGAAAACCCCCTGCAACTGGGGATGTGGTCTTTACGAGCTTCGATCAGCCTCCATCACAGGGGCAATGTGAGATATCCATAGATGCTTCTCCTCAGGTTGACGACCCTGCAGCCGAGGACAACATAGATACAAAGAAGAGGAAGAAGAAGAAGAAGAAGAGAGAAAAGAAAGATCCTTAATTTAGCATTTCGTCCACCACTGCAGCTGTAGGTTTATGCCATTGCAAATATTGACATTCGGGTATTTCTCGTAAACATATGAAACACTACCACACGGTTCCAGTGATACAAACCAAGCTGTTAATGATTGCGATTGATGTGCAACTATTCTACATGATCCATCATCGTGATATACTGACAAAAGGAAACTAATCACAAACGTGATGCAGAAGAACGAAAAAATCGGGATGAACATCTCCGATGTCATCAACCTCGCACGCTCCGCCATGCGCTTTGCATGGCGATACGCCGGGCCTGTGTTGCACGGCAATCAGTACGAGATAGCAAAGCAACAAGATGGACCTACCTGATCAAGCGAGATGGAATCTTCCCTAAGTTCCACCCGCTGCCTACCATCGTCATCGTCGTCATCGTCGTCATCAGCATACGAGCTTCGAGTACCCCTCACCCCGCCAAAAGCGGCCTTACCACCCGCCAACGAAAAAGGCGTCGAGGCGACAGCAGTGCCGAACACGCTGGTATTCTTCGGCGCACCGAAGGCAGCAAAGTCAGTCACGACTTTACGAGGAGGGGACGACGACGCTGAGGGGCTAGTACTCGGCGTCATAGAAGTATAAGTCTTCTCTGATCGCGAAGGCGTATGAGGCGAATATGGATATGAGTACAAACTCCGGTTCGCAGTCTGTCGTGCGATAAGATACTTTTCCGTGAAACGCGTGCCCTGCACCTTTGACGATGAAAGTCGTTAGCTCGCGAAAGAACCGTAGAAAACCAACGCACCCTCTTCAACTGTGGCTTCGCCTCATGCAGCGATGTAGCGTGGGTGAAGACCGCGACATTATGCATAGCTTCGGGAGACTCCTTGTAGATGCTTTCGATCACCACTTTCTTGGTGCTTTCATTCCGGAGGAGCAACTTCTCGTGCAATTCACGGGCGACATCATCGACGCTTTCATTGTTCCCGAGAATTCGCTGCGCCACAGCATGCCCCACCTCTCGAACAAGGCGTTCCATATCGAGGTTTTCCAACACACTGCCTACGATCGCATGCGAGAGGAGATCAGCTGTTGTAAGTGGGAGCATGAGCCCAGACGTGATGGTTGTAATTGCTTGGTAGAAATCTGTTGCATACTGAAACACATCTAAGTACTGTGACAAAAGAGTAACGACAACCATACCGAGTAACCACTGAGGGCCGGTTCGCACGCAACGAAGAACTATGGGACCGGTTATCTAACTCATTGACCGCTAGACCGTGATGAAACGTACCAGCGTGATGCCCCGACTAGCCATCTCGCGAACTAGCTGCAACGGATCGTGTCCATCTGGAGAGCCTTCATCGAATCCTACCAAAGGTTGAATACATCGCTCGAATAGCCAGATCACCATACTCACCATCCCCATACTCTCCTATTCCGTGTGGTGGCGCATCAGCAATCAGAACGACCATCTTGCTCGCATGCTCCCTCCAGTCCATATGGAGTGCTTCTGCGAGCGCAGCTGTCACGGCCTCCGGTCCATCACCACCCCCAGAAGCATAAAGCCCTGCAAGGTCCCGATGTACCTTGCTGATATCAGATGAAAATCCAAAGTTCTTCACCACATATGTGTGATCCTGTGGCGGATGGTCGCGGAACGCAACAAGGCCGACGCGCAAATCCTCTTGCGATTGTAGCTTTCCCGACTCAAAAATATGTGCGCAAATCTCCTCGATGTTCTTCGTTGCAGAGGAGATGTAGCTTCCTTGACTGCCCGTACAGTCTTGCACAAACACCAAGTCGCTGTGCACGGGTGAATATGACGGCTGGTATAGAGTCTTGCAGGCACGTACAGCATCTTTCTTCCGTCATAGTAGTTTTGACGACGAAACTGGGGAGTCGGCTGAGCCGTGTTGGCGTCGAATTCCATATCTTCATCCATGGCGAGTCACAGTGTTATTGTAGTTGGTTCAGATGCAGGCTCCTGGGAATATTTATCGACGGATACTTGGTCTGCCTTCGTATTCCTTGTTACCTGAGAGGCAGTTGAAAGAGCTGTTGACGATCCAACCTGGTAAATATAGTCAAAGTTTACACCTTCTGGTGTGAGGGCTTCTTGTGTGCAGTCCCAGGACCCAGGCGACATCCTGCAGGCATCTCGGATCTCAGCAATCGGATATCGGATCTCGTCTGCTGTATAACTAAACCCAGCGCCCAGGACACTAATCTAGGATTTCCCGCACGAGTTCGACTGTGTATAACTCTATAAAGTAGATATATGCAATATGCGAAAATAATCAAGGATCCCGCCTGCCCAATAACCATGTAGCCCAAGGTGTTGTCCAACTAGGAAGAATCTCTTGTCGTAAGAGACTCCTGTAGAGCATTACGAGACCCGCACTGACGCCCCCCAGTAGTGCAGTAAATGCCACGTAAACACGCACCCGCTCCGAGGCTGTCATCGCACGATCTGCCCCTCCGGGTATTGCCGCGTGACTAAAATAGGGTGGTCAGCAGACCTTCAAGACACAAAAGAGCAGGAACGACTTACGGATTCATGGCAATGCTGCATATTGCATGGAAGACGTCTGCGGTCTGTCCCGTTTTGACGCTGACAGCGACAGGCACCTGGAGGCCAAGTCGTCTGCAGTATACGTCGGGCTGAACTTCGTGTCTCTAAAATGACATCAGGAAGGAACTGGCTTTGGCAAGAAATATCCAAACTTGTTGTGCAAGATCCAAGTCCGACTTTGTCGCAACGAATAGGGTCGGTGTATGATCGAGAGTGTATTGTTGCTATAGTCGAATTTGGGTCAGCATCCACCTTCGAGGGTCAAAATAACCTACTCGTAGATTACTGATGTAAGAGAACGAGTTAGTATCACTGGAATCATGTACATAGACAATGACGTCAGCAAGATCCGTCTTCTTCGACGCGCGAAGCGTCTCTGCCTCGTATTTAGACCCAAATTCCTGGAGCTAAACCAATCATTGTCAATCACCCACGTGCCAAGTGTTGTTGAGACCTTACCACGAGGTACTTTTCTGAACCATCAATATCCACTGCATTAACTACGCTCACCATCTTACTAGTTGGCTCGTAGGCCTCGCGAAATGGCTTCCCAGCGAATGACCGCAGTAAAGACGTCTTGCCTGAACCAGCCGCACCACAAACATAACATAGGAAAACATTGCGGGAGACTTTGCCTTTCCGCCGGTCAAGTTTGCGGGGACGTGTTGTCAGTAATGCAGATGTGCGTTGTTCATCGGGGTATCCAAGATAGGCGAGGTATGCGAGAGTGGTTTTATGATCTAAGAGAGTAGTCATACTGGCATGCAGGATGAGCAGGGCATTCAACTGGAGGTGATCCCAAACACAGACCTCCATTGAGCGAGCCAGCCTTGCAGAGTGACTGCACCTTTATCATCCACCAGGGTCGTATCCGGGAATTTCTGAGTTTCCCATGGATTCCCTGGGGAAGTACTGAACAGTTCTTCCAGTTCTCCGCTGTTCAGTGCACCATCTTGATCCTAGAGATGTATGTGAGCGCGACATAAAGGCACGTTTTGGTGTCCAAACCTTGTCGAAAGTTTCAAAGATATCAGTGAAGAATTGATATCCTTGAGGACTCAGTTCAACAGAACAGTCATGAGGCACGTCGAATCTGAAAGATCGGTCAAATTTTAAAGCTCATAAAAAGATAAATCGCGTGCTTTGGGAGTAGGAATGACTCAGTGAGTCGCAGGTCTTCTGCATAACCAAATTTGCGGAGAACAGCCCATGTTGTCTCCAGCCTTCCGCGTTGAATAAATATCGTATGCAGGTATAGAAATCCAGCCTCTGTCAAACCGTCGTCTCGCACGCCTCCCTCCGCATGCTCACGAACCATATCCTTGATGCCTTCAAGTTCCTGGAGCTGTAATGGCGCATCAAAACATTTTCGCTACACGCTTTCGTGCTTAGCATTTCCAGATGCTAGAGAAGTGAAACGATATACTTGGAATTCATTCAGCTCTGCAGCATCCAAAACACCATCCTTGTTCGCATCGCAGAGCTTGAATATTCGTTTCAGGGCGCTAACACAAGCGGGTTTCAGGACCTGGGGGGCTTCAGTTGAGAATCTATCACGAGCTGTCAATACGCACATGTTCCCTGGAGTCATAAAGAGGAGCAGTGGGATGCAGGACCGCTTTCTGGGCAAAGTAGAAGACCTCCGACACGTTCAGCGGCAGTTGAGCGGAGCATTCAACGCATGTCTCGACTTCCTGGGTAACGTTATTGGATTTAAGAATATCGCAGAAAGTTTGACATGCCTTGAACTCATTCATGATGGGTATGATCTCTTCCTCCAGGGCTTCGTTGGTAACCTCACCACCTCTCAGGTCGATCTTGTTTCCGACAAGGATTACAGGGACCTGGATATATTGTTAGGTTGATGCGAGAAAGCTAAGATAAAACAAACGTTGACGCCTAATTGACGAAACAAGGGAAGCCAATATGTAGGTATTCGATCAAATGAGTGAGGATTGTCGATTGAGTATACCACGCAAATAACATGCGCTTTGCGTACTTCCGATTCGAGATGCTGTCGGTCTTGTGGGCCAGCTTGTATTGTAAGTTGAGAATAGCGCGTCTTTATTCATAAGTTTGTGGTACAATACCTCCTGAATCGACAATGTAAGTGGTCACGTTCTCTGGGTTCACCTCCGGTGGAATGGTGACCTCCGGCACGACATGTTGAACCTGGCATTGGAGCCATCAGTGCCGCAATTACGTGTAGAAGGGTAGAGCATACATGTGCAACGAAAGCTTCCTTAATGAGAGAGGTGACGATGGTACTTTTACCAACACCCTCTGCGAAGCCCTGTATCAGTACACGCGGTCAACAGAGGGAATAACACGTACCATCCCCTACAAGCAAAATGCGAACATCCCTCCTCATGACCCTCTAAAAAGAAGACGTGATAAACCTGACTCGGCTTTTGTGAGAAGCCTTAGCTAGACGATGGCGATGGACGTGAACTTTGAAACAGTGTCTAACTTAATCCCTCCCTGTTTGG